AATAGTGAATTCTGGGGATTAAACAGGTCCCCAGGCTTCAAGGCAAGTGCTTTCCGGCCTCTCTTAGATACACTTTATTGGTGTTTGTTCTGTTTTATAAAGCAAGGTTGTTGTTGATCACTGGTTTTTTAAGAAGAAAATATCTTATTTTTCATTTATGTGTATGTGTGAGTGTTTCAAGAGGCCAGATGTTGGATCCTTTGGAGCTGGAGTTACAGGCATTTTTCAGACTTCCCATCATTGGTGTTTGGGATCTGAACTCCAGACATCATGATCTAAGCAGCACCCACTTTTAACCAGTGAGCTCTCTCCAGAGCCTTGGTCACTGTTTCTTCCAATACGTGTTCCTAACCCTTTGTCTCTCCTCTTTCTTCAACTAATTCTGCTGGGCGTGTTGAAATGTTTACGGTCTATGAAACACTGCTTACCTTTAAAAATTTATTCTACTCTTCACCAGACTGTAAAATCTTAATTGACTTCACATTCAGATTCTCTCTTTACCCAGCTTAAACATGCCCAGTCCCTTCTAGTGAATTTTTCACTGTGTTAGTGACCTTCTCACCTCCAACATTTCCACTTGACTTTATTCAAAATTCTGTTCTGTCTCCCAATAGTCTCCCTGGTTTCACATCATTCTCAGTCTCCTTCAGTTCTCTACACCCACGTGAAACAGGTGAATTAAATCTTTGGTTAGTAGGCCTTGCACCTGGGCCTCTTCAGGGATACTGTCCATTCTCCACCCATTTCCCATGGAGGTCCTTATCTCTTTTTTGCATACTCCATACTAAGTATTTAAAAATTAGGAAATCTTAATTTTGGAAACTAGAGACTCTGCTCTCTCTAGGGTTTGTCGTTGGTTATTGCTCCGAATAATCGCTACAAAGCCCATGTTCTGTGTGTTTCTGCTCAATTAGCTAAATGCTCAACTGATGATTGACCAAGATTTCCTTAAATACCTACACTCACACCTTTGCTGAGGGCCCCATTCATGTTTCGTGGTGATGACTGCAATGCCTGTGTAGGAATTTTACAGTTCTGCCTTGATACTGACTTCCTGTTGTACAAAGCCTGAACATCAGTGATAAAAATAGAGGGTTCCCTGCTCACTACCCAGGGGCATGGCCTCCTATGGTCTCATGAATATACTGGAGTCTTTCAAAGCCTTCTGTGCATATCTAATGCTCTGTGTCATATCAAATAAAAACAATCCCTGGGAGCAGAGGCTTACTAGGAGCAGGCAGGTGCTGGGCAGATTGGCTACTTAGCAGTCCCCAAAGAGTTAGAGTTCAATGACAATGACGGTCTTCTCTCAGGCTGGGCCATGTGTCATCAGAAGCTCTCCTTTCTCCTGATGAAGGTGTTCAGGGCGTGGCAGGGCACACCTGTAACACTAAGAATGCTCTTCTCTCTGAAGGGCAGAGGTGGAACCCCTGAAAATCCTGTCCCACAAAACCACAGAGAACACCAGGAGCATGGTCTGTGTGTTGAGCTTAGGCTTGCAGCAGTCTAGAAAACAGTCACATCTCAATAACAACCGGAGCTTGCTTTCTTTCTTTCTTTCTTTCTTTCTTTCTTTCTTTCTTTCTTTCTTTCTTTTTTCAAGACAGGGTTTCTAGTCTTGGCTGTCCTGGACTCCCTTTGTAGAGCAGGCTGGCCTAGAACTCACAGAGATTCACCTGCCTCTGCCTCCCCACCTGCTGGGATTACAGGCGTGTGCAACCATGCCTGGCTGCTTTCCAGTGTTTTAACTTGTCCTGCTCCCATCCCTGCCTTCCCAGCTTCATGGTAGTCCTAGAAACAAACAGCCACAAAACCATAGTGAAGTCCAACAGCCTAACAGCCACTGTAAGGCTCAGAAATGGGGTGCAGGCAGCCCCAGAAGGCAGGCAAGCTTACAGAGGAGTTTGAAGCAAACAGGCTCACAGCCCAAGAAATGACAAGCTGCCATGTGGAGCTGTTTTCATGTACACGCTTAAGTGCTGTGCTGTCTAGACATCTTCCTGAGATTTTCAGGTATCTAAACACTCAGCCCGAGTCAGATGACTGGCAAGGAGATCCCAGCAAATAGCTTCATCTTAGACCCTATCCGACTCTGCCCCATGCTAGAAGCACACACAGTTCTCTTTCACAGCCATCCTGTGTCATTGTGCCATTGTGCCATGATTCAGGTGGGTACAAGACACTGGAGGAGGGAGAAACGGGAATTTGGCAGCTGAGATTGTCTTCTGACTTCTGTAATAATTAACATTTGGTTAGGAAACTTTGGTCATATCTGACTTGGCTCTTGGTGGCAGGTGAGTTGAGATGTTCTTCCATTTTCAGAGTTTAGGGAATAACAAGGAATATGTAACAGAGACTCCAGATGGCTCACAAGAGGCCAGGACACTTGCCATCTTGCTGTTTACAGGAAAATCCTGCCTTCCTCTGGGTGGTGTCACAGATTGAAACAACCAGTGATGGCTAGCCAACCCCCACAGCAAGATGACCAAACCCAAGGACACAAAAACACTTGAAATATCTTTACTTTAATGCTCCAGGCATTTAAAACATTCATATAGTTGCCTTATTTCAGACATTTCCTCTTAGGTGCAGGTTCTGTGTCCAGGATTGGAGGCACATACATCAACCACGGAATCCTCAGGGCAGGCAGGACCCACCTGCCACATGCAGCTGACTTTGGCACCTTGTCATCTGGATCATGGATCCCCACTCTGCCACACCCATGACAGGACTGAGCTCACCCATGAACTCAACCACTACTGATCACAAAAACACTTCAGAGCATCACTAATGCTGGCTTGGTCTAGGGATCACAGCCCATTTCCAGCACTTCCCAATGTCCTGTGCGTGTGAGTGTCACCCCAAAGAGCTACTGAAACACACTGCCAGGTGGTGTGCATGCCAGCTCCAGCTCCACGCCATTTCATAACACAGAGGCACTTAAATATTCTTGGCAAAATGGACTTTATAATTGCCATTGAAGTCAAGTGTAAGGGGAAGGGCTTTTCTCCCATAATTAATGAATAACTCTAATAAGTATTATTAGATTTATAGATTTGTGTCTTTTGTACATTTGCTATCAAGGACTTGATACACCGCTTATGTTAGTGAAAGCATGTTTGATTTTTCCAGACACTTGGATGAGAAGCAAACTGAGAAGCTGCTTGGACAATACTTATACTATGAATATATATATATATATATATATATATATATATATATATATATATATATATATATAT